CATATTACAGGGATTTCATGCTCCTTAAGGTCTGCTCTGCACCAATCGATTGGGTGTTCTCCATACCGTGCCCTATTCGGGGTGGATATGATCACTCATGGTACCGATTACAAATTATTGAAGGAGTTGTCCTTATTGGAAGAACCGCAGGCCCCCCTGTTGCGGTCTGACCATTTGGCATTGCTAAGGACAGATATTCAGAAAAACATCAGGAAAGCCTATGAGCGCAATGCGGCTCAATATAATTTACGCAGCAAGCCTGTTTCTTTTCGTGAAGGACAGGAGGTGTTCTGTCGAAATTTTGCGCTTAGTAAATTCTCACACAATTTTAATGCTAAACTGGCTCCCCAGTTTATTAAATGCCGTGTCAAAAAGAAACTCGGAAATTGTTTTTATTCCCTTGAAAATCAGCAAGGAAAAGAAATTGGTACTTTTCATGCCAAGGACATTAGAGTCTAATTCCCGCTAATATACCCGTCTAACGGTAGGATATTATCGGGTGGTGTAATGGTCGCAGTTTTCCTATTTAAATTAAACCGCATAAGCGATCCTAACAGCTTGCGTTTGTGTAACGACGCTATAGCGATCAGCTTTTGTCTGTCATGGTCAGCTGCGAATGAGTCAGCCGCTGCTATAAACCGCCTGCGTGCACGTTGGCAGCGCAGCTATCTTCCCTCTAATCCGGGAAAGAAAAAAGCTCTGAGACCCTATATAAGCCTGCAGGTCCCGGATATAACCCTTTTTTTTTTCAAAAGTTACTTTACCATCGAAGGTCTGGCTACGGCGGTGCGGACATAGCCCCACCAAAATATTAATCTAAAAGCAACAAGTTCGGGCATCAGTCGTTTAATTCGTTTAATTTAAATTCCAACTAAATTGAACCAAAAACAACAAAAAAATAAAAAGAAAAACCCTAAAAGTAACCGATTGGCGAAATAAATTTTTTTGTTCATTTGATGATAACCTTTCGCTCCGCCACCCGGCCACCAGCACCTCACCGGCATATATTTCTTTGTGCCAAGATCTGGTCACAGTTTTAACCAGTTCTTGCTTGCCTGCCGAAAGTAATTTTTGGAGGAATAAATCTTGCCGCCGCCGTCTCTGACAGAAAAACCCACTTATTTTGAGGCAGCCGCCACGTGTGCCAATTGGACGGCACTGTAATTTCTTGGGACGGCAATGACATTTCTGCCCCCATTAAATAGACGTCAGCCTCAACGGCGGATCAGCTGCCATACCCTTGCTCATGCCAGCAAGGGCAGGCGCCGTTTCCACAGTTTGGAATCCGGAAGAGGCAGTAGCCTTCTGGGCCCCATTGACGCGCCGCTGATCAGAAGCCCAGATGACATCGCCAATTAAGTTGGCCGGAGCGTGCAGATGCATGAAAATTGCTGTTAAATGTTTTTAGTAAAAAAATTGTTAACTAAATCTTGTGAGAGACTTCCAAAAGTTTGTGAAAAGTGCATTTATTAGGCCCTCAAAAAACCGCGTGCAAGTGCAGTGAAAAAGAAAAATTGACATCTATATACATAGCTTTATATATATAGAAAGGAATACTAGTATAAATCTATCCCCCTTCTTGTAGAGTCCAAAGTCATTTCAGAATTTTTTTTATATTTTTTTTCCCACTTATTTTCGGAGAGTATCTTCTTAGTACTCACAATTTAAAAACCCTCCTGTGCCATAATAATATAATCAAAACAATTTAAAGCCCCACAGAAGACAAAAGAAAACAAATGAAAAAAAAATTAAATAAAATTTGCTGCAAACTCTCCGCTGGAAGGCCTTTCATCGAGGAATACATGTAAGTTTTTAACCTTTTGTTTTGAGTATATTTTCTTATTTTGGCACAGATAAGCACAGCCAAACTGACATGCGCACCTGCTGAGTTTTTTTTACTTTCTGTTTCACATTACGCTTTAGCTCCGATCAATATGTTTATGACCGTGTCAGTCTGGTGAATGCTTATCATCTTTGATTCTACCTACACCCCGCTCAATTACTAGCTGAAACAGAAGCAACCTAAAAGAAAAGATTTTTAACAGAATCAAATATATGTACACAAAGATGTATCATCGTATTCACCGATCAGCTGGTTGCGCTGCGCTCCGATTTGCCCATGCGCTTTGAGCTTAACCTTCTGTTGCCCATATTTTTTTCGACCATACAATTAACCATCAACTACAATTGTATTGACTCTATTATAATAACTTTTTTTTTTGCTTTTGCCGAATACACTTTAGTTCAATTTACGAATGTCATTTTTTTCTTACCTAGCTATATTCTATAATTATTAAAATGCACTTTAGCGAAATTTGGAGAGTTTCTTTTTGATCAATAAGAAAAAAAATATTAACTGAATAGTTTATAAAATGAATTATTTTTGAAGAATCTTTGAGACATTGTAAAAATATTAACGGACTAGTTTTAGTTACTGAATTATTGTTGAATCATTAATGCCACTTGTAATAAGATGCAGATTATCTAACGGAAGGATTCAGTTTCATTGAATAATGCTTTTGTTTATAATAAATATTAATTACGGATTTTGATTATGAATTGCTAAGTTTTCTTTCCTGGTGACATGGTGATATAATGTAGTAGAAGAATGTTTTTTTTGGGATCTTCAAAACCTTAAACGCTGAAGATCATGGTTGGGAGGGTATCGAACGCGAGAGTCAGCTTACATCCAAGACTTCGCCTCTTCGGAATATATATGCCCTAATGAAAGCTATCACCATTGTATTGGCACTTTAAGTGCTCGTTAAGTTATGCCTGTTTGAGATTTTGTTTCTGCGGAGTATCGGTCTCCAATTTAGATTCTGTAGGGATCCTAAAATAAAATTGTGTATGCAGGTCGAGACATGGCAAAAAGAACCCCCCCACCCGAAAGAGCTAGGGAACAAGAGGATCCCGCCCTGCCATGCTAACTCAACCACGAGGGGCCTCGGTGACTACTTCCCGAATTATTTTGTGAAGATTGGCTGCCAACCGCCGTCACCGTTGCTACCCGATATGTATTGCTAGAGTAGCTTCACCACAGTACATGCTACAAGCCCGGATTTTGTATATGAAAATATATAGAAAAGACAATATTTTCAGCACAACGGGCTTTCGTATGTAAAAAATTGAGTTTTTTTTTTAAAAGCCTACGTTCCCTTCCTGGCTTATTCCCCGCTAACGAAATGCGGGGTATAACTGCTTTTTAAGTAGTAGTAAAAAAAACCTGCGCTGGCCAAACCAACAATCGGTCGAAAAATTTGTTATGCCGGCTGCTCTGCAATTGACATAATGCAAAAATAAATAAACGAATATAAAATAAAAAAATAAATAAATAAATAAAAAAGAAGATATGCAGGATGACACGGCAGAGCAAACGGGAGGTCTGCTCCCTGGCCCAAAGCACTAGCAACTGCCTCACCCAGCATTTCTTGCTGCCACTTTGGCTGAGTTTATCCAGCCATTTATTGTGTGGCAAGTGCAGTTCCTTGTACTGCACCCTCTTCCCAACTCGAGTTCTGTTTGGCCTGTGCATTTGTGTTTTGCTTTCATTTTGGCCGCTCAATTTTGCCACGAGTTGAGTTGCAAGAGAAGCTGCCACACGGCTACCGCTGCCGCTGCCGCTGTTGTTGGCCATAAAGTTGTGCAAATAAATTGCAATGCAGTCGGAGGCAGGCAAGAAACAAATGTTGTTGCTGCGAAGCCGCGACGCGAAATTGATGGGGAATTGATTTGAAAGCAAATACATAAATGGAGCAGAGCCACCAAGAAGCCACCAAAAACAGGGCAGCGCATAAATCTTTGGGGAGCACCACACTGAGAAATTGGCTAGATATTGTGCTTGTGCCAGAAATTGAGAAATTGGCCGGGCAAAATGTGGCGGATGGTAAATTGGGTGTTGCGTGTTTTGCGGGGGAAAAACCAAAGAAAAAAAAAAACGAAATGCGTTTGTTGTGTCTTTGCCAGAAAGTTGGGGAGTTGAGTTGAGAAATCATCGCGAATTGATGTATTCGTACAATTTGGCTTTGTTGTTGATTACTTTAACGACTGATTAGGTGCTGAAATATACAGAAACATGTTCTGAATATCAATGAGATAGAACAAGAAACTTTGCGGCAGCTCAAATTGAATGTACATGAGTAGCTTGAAGATAATTTTATTGATTGATTTAATGGTTTTACTTGGATTTATTTTGTTGTTCATTTTAGATTGTTAGGGCTTAGGTGGGCCAGGTACTGTGGCTATAAATGTGGACTTGCTTTAAAAAATTAATTCTTTATAATATAATGAAGAGATTACGGCTGCAGTCTAAAAACCTAGAAGCAAGCTTTGTCGATAGGCCACATTATCGATTTTGCCAAACATTAAATTTATCGATAGTAGTTAGATAGATGTCTTCTTTTTTTTGGAACTGTTTTATGAACTTTTATAATGTATGCTAAAGTATTTCATTTAATGAAGTTTAAAAACTTATCGATATCGAGTGGAATATTATTTTTATCGTTATTGGTTTCGATAGTTTAAGAGCTCTGCCATGTTCAGCTGTTTAATGTTGCCTTTTCTCTATTAGCAGCTCACACACAACGGAGAATTCATGTATTTTGTATCCGGCCATCTAATATGCAAACCAGTTGGGTTCATAAATCATGGAATTTACATGTCTTTAGATATTCTTTTTTGCTTATTTTTATTTCTTTTCTTTTTTTTTTTTGCATATCATTTTCATAATAATGCCGTTGCTTTTGGTGGCTGTACACTCGACAAACAACTTTTATGCTCAATACACAATTTCAATTCTCATCACTTGAATTTGTGCTGAAGGAGCTCAACAATTTCCTTCAAGTCGAAAATGTATGGCAATAATTCAACTCAATATTCTTGTGCACACACACACACAAACACACGCACACACATGCTCAGGCATGCTCTTTCATACATGCTCGCACACATAAGTTAGCTAGTGTGGTGGAATTTTAAGTAAAATGTTGGCATTCACTTACCGATTCAATGGCCTTCTCCAGGCGAAAGATCTCCTCCTGCAGCAGATGCAGCGTGCCCGTTTTGCCGCGATGACGTGCAAATGCAGCGGCACAGGCGCTGTGTATGCTATTTACCCAATTCTCCAGCTCCACCTGTGTGTGAAAAGAATGAAAGAGCAGGTAAGAGAAAGTTTTGAAGAGAGCGAGAGAGGGAAAGGTGATTTTTTGTTGCAACAATTTGCTGAGCCAAATGCACCACAAGCAATTTGACATGGCTCCCCAGCGCCAAATGTCGACAACATTGTTGTTGTTGCTGTTGTCGTTGTTGTTGCTGTTGCTGCTGTTGTCGTTGTCATTGCTGGCTGACTATCAGTTATGCAAATTTAATGACAAATCACTGAGGCGACCAGGCAAAACGCTGAAATGCTGTCAGCCAGCGAGTCAGTCGGTTAGTATGTTGGGTTTTGCGGGGAAAGGCAGATAGTAGGTGGCAGGTGCGAATGAGGAGCGTATGCCTCTGAGACATGTAACAGTTTAGGCACAAGGACCCAGCTAGGCAACAACTATTGGTTCAAGGCAATCTGCCAGTTGGCTGTCGCATGCCCAGGCTCAATCGCACTTTAAGCCGAGCGATTTGCATTTCAGCCTTTTGCGGGGCTGCATCAGTTAACGCCTTCGAGTCTTAAACTGTCACTGCGTGTGTGTGTGTTGGTGTGTGGCACACATTTTGCATGGCGATTACGAATAAGGTCTGCTGAAAGCCCGCGAGCGCTGAACTCAACACCACACACACAGAGGCAGCTGCCTGATAGATATCCTTGATGTCCCTATGCAAACAAGCTCTCACTCAATGGCTCGACGATGTCGCCCAAGTCCAAGTCGTGCTGCTCAATGCTATCATCGGTGCCCTCCTGGACAAGGCCAGCTTTTATGCTCGACTGCCCCTGGGCCGGGGCCTGATGTCTTTTCTAATTGCAGAATGAAAGTTGTACGCTTCAAGGGCTTCCCAGTTTTTATTGAGTACGCCACGCATCATATATTACAGCCTGGGCCAAGTCTAGCAGCAAGAAGCACTTACCTGACAGGGCGCCTGGAACAGATAGGCATCACCGAATGCGGTGCTCAAACAGAATATGTAATCGCGCTTGGGATGCTCCGGTATTGGCTGCATAATTGCTCCGTCCACAATAATTAAATGCTTGGGCGCCGCCTCAACGCTGCGACCCTCACGCGAATCGCACGGATAGAAGAGGAGAGTGGTGCCCTTTAGGCACACCCAATAGCCCTTCCAGCCACGTTTGCGAGCCAGCTCAATTTGATGCTTCTTGCGTAATAACCATTTCTTTACCGATAGAAAGCTGTAAATAAAGAAATGTAATCAAATTGAGTTGTTAAATAAGCACAACTAATAAATTCCGAGTGTAGGAAACAAATTTGTAGACAGCTTGTAAATACCATTTGCAGCAGCATGAACAATATTCCCTCAGAGGATTCAAGAAAATTAAATAGACATGACTTGGCAAATCGATGCAATCAATTATAAAAAGCGAGCTGATTTAGAAGCCGTAGAGAATTATAAAATAAATGTGTTGTGAATTGGCATAATAACCGTTTATATATCTAAGTTTTAAGAATAGCTTAGACATTGGATATTCGAATGGTCCTTATAAGTTGACTCGTTGAGAATTATAAAGAATATTCGGAAAGAGCTGCCATATTAAGCTGGGTCTTTTGCGTTTTTTTTTGTGCTGCTCGCGTTAGCTAGTTGAGAATTATAAATTTACCAGGATTAGCTCCTTCCTCTTAATTATAAACGAGGTAACATTTGATATGAGACAATTCTCCACAGAGAATCTATAGCTAGGATAATGAGTGTTCAAAAATGCAAGGCTAACGACTGTATAAATTACAGAGGTTGCTTAAGAAGAAGACTAGATGACGTTTTAAAAAACGCGACTGCAGTAAATTTTTGTGCAAAGGGATTCATTTAACATAATAGGCAAGATAGTTAAGGTTCATTAGCTAATAGGTAACACTAAACGTGCAAGCTTTGTGCCCTCAAAGAGACGCGCATCTCTTATTACATTCAAAAACTTTTCTCTGCTTGCCTTTTTGGAGAGTCTCTACGGCATTGCCGCTGCGAGCGGAACACACTTCATCACAGCGCTGATAGCAGAGTGTGCTATGCGCTTGGCCGTAATCGCTGTAAATGATATGGCAAGCGTCAGGCCATTTGCTACTTTATTTATGATTAGCTGTTCGGGCTGGCAGCATGTTTGAGGCACACGTGCCCATGCTATCCAGCTGGCAGCAGCAGCAGCATGCTGCCATGCCTGAGGGAATACCATTTCGTGCCACTGATTACAGCTAGTTGGGTCTTGATATTAACTTACCCAGCTTTACGCACAGCGCCCGTGCAGTTGAAGGAGGATGCAGCGGTGCCAGTGGCCTTTGCTTTATATGGTGACGCCATGACACTTTCGCCATCATCTTCATCCGAAACGGCAGTAGTTAGGCTCATTCGATCATCGTCCGAGATCTGCAAAAGTGCATTAATTGAAAGCGTGTAAGTAAGGAGGAAGTACCAAACAGATATGTGTACAACACTTGCTGCTGTTGCTGTGGTGGTTGTTGTTGATGCTTGCAGCGATAAAATTCAATAAGTCTGCGAGGTAATAATTGAAATAATTAAGTCATAATTAGCAGTGCCAGTCAGAGGCAGGCTCCACAACTAACGACAACGACAACAACAACCACACACGCACACACACCCACCCAGCCATACACAACTCAACCCGATACGAATCGCAATGAGTCGAATCGACCCCGTAAGCCATTTGAAACCAATAATGGTTGACTGGCTCCTTGTTGTTGTCGTCGTCGTCGTTCTTCGTATTGCTGTTGCTGTTGTTGCTGTTGCCGTTGTCACTGCCGACAGCAACATTTGTTACGTATGTCGTCGATAAAGCAATTTGTCTTCTCTCGCCTGCATTTTTAGTGAAGTTGGCAACATGGGAGCAGAATTGACTGCCGGGACGGCTCGAGAGGGCGACGGATGGACAACAATTGACAATAACAAAAAAAAAAAAAGGCTCAGAAAACGAATCGAAACAAAATAAAAGCAACAGCAGCTGGAAACGGAGGAGATGTGACAGTAGAAAATAAAGGCAATGGCAAACAGTTTCTTGGCCATGTTATCGAGGCGAGCTGGCTAGCAAGCATTCCATCAAAAGCCGGGTCGAGAGCGACAGCTCTGCTCTGCTCAGCTCTGTTCTGTGCTGTCCTGCCTTGGACCATCCTGCGACTTCCTTCCGTTCTCACCACACACAGAGCCCAGTGCGCCAATTTTGCTTTCGCAACAGGAAAGACAGACGAAGGGAGCGGGAGAGGGGTGCAGAGAGGGAGTTTGCTGGTAGCTGGTCCGTGTGGGAATCAAGCTGAGGCAACACGGCGCTGCCAATGCTGAGGCTGAGGCTGCGGTGCCGCGCGCACGCTACGTGTCCCGCGTGGCAATAAAAATTGGTTTGCCCATTCATTCGTTTCAATTGGATGGGGTGCTCTGGTAGCCCCAGCTACCAGCCAGCCACGCCCACAATGTCGCTCACTTGCTGTTCATGCCATTTTTATTTGAGTTCCCAAGGAAATCAATTTACAATGTGTTTATTCGTTTCGTCTTCGCTTCCTGCTGGCTCTGGACGGTTCGGCACGGGAAGGGACGGTCGGGACGGTCGGGGACGCCAGCCAGCGACAGACCCATCGATTCCTTGGCCCCATTTCTTGGCTTTGGTTACTGCGATACACAGTGTGCCCTAACCACCAACACTAACCCCACCAGCAGCAGCAGCCCATACCATCCATACATGTCTGCCCGCCTCTTTTACGTTTTTGGCAATTTTCAAACATTTTTGCTCATATGCATGTTTTACAAGTTATTTATTTGACTGCCCGGCGCGTCGGTTGGGGGCGGCAAATGGGCAACTGTCAAGTGGCAAGCACGCTTATGTTTGCACAGCAGCCACGCCCCAATCCTCAGGAGCAGTCGTTCGCCCTTTCAGCAGGCAAAGTCATGTGTGCTTAACCCACAAGTGATGTCGCCCTCATATCGCCGTTTGTCGTTGGCCAAGTTTAATCAAATTTTATATTAATCGAAGGAGTGCAAAGGCATGCAAATACCCAAACGTGAGCTGGCTGAGTGACTGCCGCTTCCGCTCCGGCAACATAAATATTTTCCGAGTCGAAATTGGCAAAAAAAAAAAAAGAAATAAAAAGGGAAACCCAACGGCAGCACATCAAAGCGGTACCACACTGTGGCAAGGGGTTTCACGGGAGCAGGGGGAATGGAGGGCAATTCCATTGAATCGTGTTAAGGTGCAAAGCTTGTAGCTCTGATTAATTGGGAATGGTATATAATAGAGCAGGGCAAGCGGAGAAGCCATTAAAAGGTTGAACAAGCATTGTGCAGCAGATGGAGAAGTATATTTTTAAGTATTTGAAGTATATATTGTAAACTTCTTTATACATTTTTTTGCACTTAATTACCACTCAACCTGGACTTCTCCTTGAATAGGTCAGTTTAATATATTTTCCTCTTCACCTATGACACACTCTGCGTTCTTTGTTTTGACATAATTACCTTTTTTGAATAAAATTTTCATGTTCTTTGATTAACCGTTACAGCTTTTTTAATTAACTATCTCAGTTTGCTTTCAATTTGGCAGTTTTGATTTTGTGTAAATTTTTTACAAAATGAATTTGCAACAATTTCATAAACAGAGCGTCAATTTTAAATAGCCAGCGAGTGGCCGCAATCATATTCGGGACAGCTTCAATATTGAAAACTTCAAAAACACTCAAAAAGCACTCTCACCCACTTATCAGTAGCCGCCCTGCACACTGCGATGCCCCGTTGTTGCCCTAAAGTACACCTGACAACATTTATAGCGCCAAATGAAATAGTTTCCGCTTGCTCAATGAAGTTTTCCATGAAATCATCAAGCCGAACGGAAGCTGTCGAGCGGAACTGTTCCAAGCAGGCGGCAGCAACTCTGGCAGCAGCTATGGCAACCCTGGCAACGAGGTGTGCTACACAAATACATAAGTAGCACGAACTTTTCGCATCGAAATTAAAGACAATAAGCAAAGGGCCAAGCCAAAAATACATTTTGCTGAGTTGCCGCTAAGATACGCATGTAGCTGTATCTGTAAATATGTATATATGTATATATACCTATATACCAAAATAGAACTTTGTGTAACTAAAAGTCACTTCATCAGTTGTTGCTGTGCACAACAACAAAACACTCGGAACAATCGACGCTAATGTAATGGAAAACCCTTTAGAAAGCTGCCTCGAGTGGCTAGCAAAAAGGACACAACTCGCAAAATTAACGAGTTTTTTACCTTTTACAACAGATTACTGTGCATCTACAATTGTGTATTATGTATGTGCGGGTGTGTGTGTGCCCAAAAACGAGAGCCGAACCGTAACCAAGACTGCGCAAATGGCAGCATCAAATCTCAACGTCGACTGATTGGCCCTGTCGCCTGGTTACAATTTGTGCAGGACCCAAAGAGTTTGTCAAATGATTCATGAATTTTTAATTGATATGACCCGGCCCGAAGCACCAGCAATGGGCAATGCATGGGCGCTGTTCCATGGCTGAAATGCTGTCGAATTTCATCAGCAGTTTGGGACAGACTGCCTGACAATGGGTTTGTTGTTGTGTCTGTCGGCTAACTCACATGGGTAAGCCTAAATGGGCAGCCCTAAACACGCGCGCACACAAGCAAACACACACACACAAAAGATTAAATGCCTATAGTCCTGGGCTGTGACAAGTCTACCCCCCCAGACTCCTTTCATCTGATTACTTGGGCCTAATATGCCATATCTCAGCATCAGTGCAAAATCAAAATTCAATTTACGCACAGAATCAAATACACACGCACGCACACAGGCGCCAAGACACGCAGACACGCCCACTTAGGCGGCACACCCTCATCGAGGCCCGGACAGGTGAGCTGCCGCCTGCCTGGCAGCGCCCCTGATGTCGGCGCTGCGTTTTCTAATCAAGAATTGATTGTGATCCCTCGATGCGGCTGTCGTTCACGTTTCATCCATAATTATCAATGACTTTTGAATGTCAAATGTGAGAGTTGCCTGCCAGTGGCACCTACACACACACACACACACTCCCCCACACACGCTCACTCACACTCCCTCCTCTAACAAAAAAGAAAAAAGGAAAAATCATTTCATTTGTCGCTGTCGCTGTCAAAAATTACAATATTTGATAGAGTGTTTATATGCAGGACGCTCTTGTTGTTGTTGCTATTGTTGTTGTTGTTGTTGTTGCTGTTGCCAATGTCGGTTGTCAGTTGTCGGTTGTCCTTGCCGCAACGCGCGCGCGCTGCCAAGCATTCAAATCTCACACATTCGCACAATTTCACATATGTAAGCAAACATTTGCTTACGTTGTGAGGTTTTCCACCAGCTGTCAGCGAAATGGAGTATAAAAAATAAAAGAAACTGCAAATTCGTGGCACGTTTGTCGTTGCGCAGCTCTTAAGTGAGGCATTAAACTGAAGTCCTGTTGCCCAGAAATTGATTCAGTATGGAAAATCTGCAGCGCCTTGCAAGTCCTTGCCAGCCGCAGTTCAACCCCTGGTTTTTATTTTTTTTGGCAACATCTTAGTGGCAAATGAAGCTGTCTCAGCAGCATTCAAAATCTCTGTGCAGCGCGAGCTAAGCGAAAGCAATTTGGCATTAGCTGTAAGACGGATTTTGGCAATGATTAAAACGGAAATACTGTCGCTGTGCAGCCAGCGGGGAGCGGGACTCAAATAGGGGTTAAACGCACAGGTATGTGTCATGACATTCCCATTTGATTAAATGTGTTCACTGAGCGTTGCTTAGCATTAATTGGTTTGTGCAGCGATGGGGTTGTGGCGGCAGATCAATCAAAACTAAGAAGGGTTTTAGACAGGTTAACTGAGCCAATTGCGTGGAGTGTTGAAGACTGCTGTTTCAGGCCAAAATTTGAGCCATAAGACTGAAGCCAGCCGGTTCAAACTCGAAATTTCTATTTATTTGTACTGTTTGGGGCGAGCCTTAAACTAATGCGATTCCAAAACCGAATTATAATTATTGCAAGGGGTAACTTTTGACAACATTCAACCAACAACAATATCTTGAAACAAATCCTGGATAAATACATGCGAAGAACCAGCTTCGCGAACCGAACCCGAAGGCAGCCCGCGTCGTTGGAACCGTATAGAAAATACTCTCTATCCTTTGCCTTAGCCTATCGACCCTTCTCTTCAATTCCTTCACTCTTTAAAAACTTCAGATTCACTTTTTTTGAGCTACTGAATTGATCCACAAACACGAACATAAGCTCGCAAACAATTTTCTATTGAACTACATTCAATTGGAACTCAAGAGCAGTAGTATAATCAATCTAACCTTAGCTTCAAAACCTTTACTGGAGCAGAGTCAGCTTTTATATTATGACTCAATATGCTCTGTTGATCTGGCAA